TCTAAATTTTGCAGCGCATGTCCTTTTTAAATAAAGAATTATTATAGGAGGAAACCCCTTATTATTCATTTGAATTTTGGTAGCATTCAGAGGCCCCAGTCAGCAATCAGGGCCCTAATGTGCTAGACACTAGACACATGTAGTAAAAAGGCAATCTCTGCCCAAATCCCTGAAAATATTAGTATGAAATTTAGAAAACTGATCTTTATAGCTTCTTTTTAAAACAGAGCAATGCACAAATACAGCAGTCAGTTATCTGCATCAATAACACCTCCTCTTATTTGAATGGATACAATTATTTCTAAACCAGTATAAAAGTTGGCAGTTTCACTTTTTGTAGGGAAACACAGAATCATAGAACATAAGAAATGTAGGACAGGAAGGGATCTCCAGAGGTCACCCAGTCCTTCCCCCTGTGCTGAGGCAAGACCAAGTATACCTAAGACCATCGCTGATAGAGCTGTCTCTCACATGCCAACACTCCCCTTGATGTGGTTTTGTGTAGAGTTCCTCTTCCCTTCCCTGACTTAACTTGGAGCAGAGGGCGAGCCCAAAATCTCCAAGTAAAACTCATTTGAAATAAAATCTCCTGCATCATATTAAAACCCCACAATGCAGTGAATTTCACAGGATTCTGTTTGTGAACACTGCAGGTTCACAAACCTTTTGATAAATGTGGTTGAAACTGCAAAGTCTCACCAGAACCAGGTGAGTATTATGTGGATTCAGGTTTCAGTGAGAATATTCTGCATGGCTTTGACTTCATAGAAGAAAGGGCTTCCCACTCATACTTCCTCATGGAGGTTTATTCTGCGTTAGGTTGCTAATAAACTTCCAAAGGGAGCCACTCCAGACTAGGTAGGGTAAGCAATGCTCTTCAGTGCTCTGTACAAACCCTTGAGGAATGTGAAGAAGAAAAAAGGACCAACCCCCAGAGAACACAAATATGCTTGGTTCCCCCAGCCCTTTCTCAGATGGCACCAGCCTCTACTGTAAAACACCACACACCAGAGCTCGGATGTGTTAATTTACCGAAGAAATTTACAGCCTAACCAGCTGTCTTGTTCCAAAATTAAAACATGTGAAGAGAGCTGCATATTAACTTTCAATAGTATTTGTCTGTATATTGAACTCTAGACTTCAAACTCTAATGGGCAGACAAACAACAACAGGGTGAGCAAGGGAGCTAATATCAGCACTGAATGCCTAGCCAGGGGAAACATCAGCCACCCAAATCTGAATGTGAACTACAAAGAACTTGTACAATAAATAGTCTCAGGAAAACTGGAATACAAATGATTTTTTTCTATTGGAAACAGTTCAGCTATTCCTCCATCTTTATTGATTTACTAAATACAGAACTATTTGAAATATGTAACATATGCACTAGTCACAATTTCCTTTAAAAAAAAACTCATAGGAATGAACTATGGATTATTTTGCTTCAAGGAAGCTTCTACAGGGAGAGACTGGAAATACAGGGGTTGCAGTGTTTTACAAACTGGATTAAATGTGGTTTAGGAACGCACGGTCACATTCTACAGTCACCGGTCATTTTTCCCTACAGCAGAGCAGCGTTACTAGTTGTTAGCAGATGGGAATGGGAATCAGGACTTCTGGGATGGCTCTAATACTGACAAGGTGTGTGACAAAGACCTCTCAGTGACTCAGTTTCCCCATTTATAAAATGGAGGAAATGATATTTACCTCCCTTTGCAGAGTGCTCTGAAATCCTAGTATGAGAGGTGCTACAGAATCACTGTCAGTGTTACTTTTTGCTCTTTTGATATTGTTCTGTTTATTTTATATTTACAGGAGGATTTGATTGCTGGACCACTAATTGGGCCAACATTAAATGTGTTTGGATAACTGCAAATTCAGCTCAGCAGGTGTCAGTGAAACAGGGATGTCATTAGCAAGGAAGGTTCAAATAGTGGAGACCCAGGTACCTGGATTCCATAGTAATTTGAAACTCAAAGGGATGTAACGTATCACCGAAATCTGCTTCAAAAGAAAGAAAGAAAAACAATACCGCCATCTGAGCTGTCAAAAATGCTCTTGAATTTGTCCTAAGGGAGGAAGTGGCTTCAGTAGCACCACAAAGGAGCTGATGGTGCTGTACAGAAAACTCATTCCTCACCTTGCAAACTCTAACGATGGGGAAGTGGCCCTTTTCAATTCAGGGTACCATGATGTCCTGAGAGTCACACAAAGGAAGTGGGGCTAACATGTTCCATTCTAGCCCTTCCCAAGTGACACACAATGCGGCATTGAAAGGCACGACTCCATCGCTATTCAACTAGTGCCTCCAATGCCTCTGCAAACAGCTGATGGCCCAAGGATGCCAACCTCCACTAGGGCTTGGTCAACGTTTCCTTATTCAGATGCCAGTTACCATTAACACATCTTCAAGCCATGCTCTGCCTGCCAAAAACCTGGACTAATTTACTTAACATTTCAACTAAATAAAATCATTTAAAACGGATGATTGAATTTGGGAATTATATTCCTCGGAGAATTAGTAATGGATCTCTCTCCCTCCTCAGGCCTCAACATTCAGAACTCCCCCATGTCAGTGTTATTAGGAATAGACTAATTCAGTAATGATACCATACCCCATATAAGCGCCCAAATAAATGAAGCACTCAGTCATACTTAATGTGAGCGATTCAGACTTTCAACCTAATTCAGTCTCTGAGAGAGATGGCCAAATCATGACAAAATCCACTTTCCATTATTTGTGGGTTGGTTCTAGCCCAGGGGCGGGCAAACCTTTTGGCCTGAGGGCCACATTGAGTTTCCGAAATTGTATGGAGGGCCGTTTATGGGAGGAGCCCTCCCCAAACAGCCCCCACCCCCTACCAACTCCCCCTGCTTCTCGACCCCTGATGGCCCACCCGGGACCCCTGCCCCATCCCTCCCTCCCTCCCTGTCCCCTGAGTGCCCCCCAGACCCCCGCCCCTGACTGCCCCCCACCACCCCATCCAACCCCTCCTCTCATTCCTGACTGCCCCCCCTGGACCCCTGCCTTATCCAACCACCCCTTCTCCCTGACCGCCCCCGGAACCCCTGCCCCTGATTGCCCCCTGCCGTCCCATCCACCCCCCCCCCCTTCCTGACTGCCCTCCGGGACTCTTGCCCCCATTCAACCCCCCTGATCCCCACCCTCTTAACTCCCCAACCCCTATCCACACCCCTGCTCCCTGACCACCACCCCGAACTCCCCTGCCCGCTATCCAACCCCCCCTGTTCCCTGCCCCCTTACCACGCTGCCTGGAGCACCGGTGGCTGGTGACGCTACAGCCGCACCGCCCGGAGCACCAGGACAGGCAGCCGCGCTGCCCGGCTGGAGCCAGCCAGGCCACCGCGCAGCATAGAGCACCGGGTTGGGCAGTGCAGCCGCAGATCCGCAGCCTGGCAAGAGCTCGCAGCCCCGCAGCCCAGAGCGTTGTGCCGGCGACGCAGTGAGCTCAGGCTGCAGGGGAGGGGGAACAGCAGGGGAGGGGCCGGGGGCGAGCCTCCCAGGCCAGGATTTCAGGGGCCGGGCAGGAAGGTCCCGTGGGCTGGATATGGCCCACGAGCCGTAGTTTGCCCACCTCTGTTCTAGCCCAAAGTGTTGGACACAATTTTTGCCTTGCACCCACCTGTGCTTTTAGATTTCTAGCCCCCCAGACTCTTCCCTATGAATATTTCATATGTACTCAGATGTCTCTTACTGAAACGGTCACTACCAGCATTAGTGAACCGATAGATCTGAGACACCAGTTCTGTTCTTATATCCATTTGCAAAGCCGATGCAGTTCTTTTTGTGTGTTTGAAGATTTGCTTTTGTTAACATGCTTATTCCAAAAGCTCCGTCCGTTTTTTGTGAGATGTTTATTTGAATTCTCAGCACCTGGGAGCTGGAGGTACATTGAAAAAGGACTGAAAAGCCAAACTTTCTCTCTTTAGAGAGGCATGGTCTATAAGTCTAAGCACAGGACTGGGAGCCAGGAAATCTTAGGATCCAACTCTGTGGCCCTGGACAAGTCCTTTAACCTCTCAGGCTCACTTTTCACATCTATAAAATAGGGATATGACTTTGTTGTACCTTTTGTGTGCCTTATGGAGCTTTAATGAATATCTGTCAAATCCTGTTGCCTCTTGACTTCTGCAGAGGTCAGCTTTTTACTTTATGCTTAACATTGATTTTTATCACTGGGTTATTAAAGAGCTAAAAAATAAAATAAAATAAAATAGCTCAAGCTATTTGAACACGAGCTGGGCATTAACCTCAGTGTCATGGTCAAATTCCAGTCTGGGCAACTATAGTCTGCCTCCCTAAAATTCCCTCTTAAGTTTCAAATGAATACAAGGTTCTTCTTCATCTGAGGGATAAGGGTTCCATTAAATCCCATGATGTGACCTTTTCTGGGCGAGGGGGAATATTTGTGTTAAGACAATGAGCTGTCTCTTTGACAGCTGCTTGCTATGGCAGGTACGTCTGCCAAAATGTACCTGCAGAGCTACCAGAAGCAGCATCGTGATGTTCTTTTGATGTTAATGGAATGTCTTCGGAGCAGTAGCACAGAGACTAGCATGGAGGACAATAAGTGAAGCAGTTAAGTAGGGTGGATTTTGCCTTTCTTCTGCCTCCTCCTCCCCGACCCCCCAAGAGAGGTAAAGGGAGAGAGCATTCTGGAGCCCTGATCTTGCCACCTATCCATACATTTTCGAGGGGGAAGCACAGGTATCAACCTTCAGCAAGCTGATAGCCTGTAGCAACTGTAATGTAACTAATTTGGTGGAAGATAAACTCAAAGTGACTTTCATTCCATTGAATGATTCTCTGCTGAGTCTGCTGTATAGCGGATGGCATTTCAAACAGTTCTGAGGTTTTACTCCATTGATCAGCTTATTCAATCACCTACACAATGGATGGTTTAACCTTTTAAGGTGACTTCTGTTGTCACCATGGATATCACAGCATTAACAAACAAGGGGCATGATTTCCAACACACCTTGCAAAGTCCAGGTCGGCCTCTCGCGACATGGTGATGTTGGTCAGGTTCTGCTGGAGGATGAAGATGTTTCTGCACATTTTCTTGATACCAGATTCGCTGATGCGCTTGAAGTATTGGGCGCCATTGATGAGAATACAGGAAATCAAGTGGCCCAAGCCTGGGAGGGGAGAGGGCAGATAAGCCAAAGAATTGCAAAGAGGAAGAAAATGCTTAGCAAGAGATTGCTTTGTAGTCACCAGCCACACACAACATTTAAACAGGTGCCTACTATTAAAACAGATCTGTAATAGATGATGCAGCTCACGTTCCTAAGGTGTTCCTGAGGTTGGCCTTTACCACCACCCTCAGTGGGTTTTGAAGTGACTTCCCACCGAAAGTTCTTGATTCATAAAGAAATTGGACACACCAAAAAAAAGCAGAAGTATCCATTATCTGTGAAATTCTCATAGCCAAGGATATTTCAGGAGCTTCAAATAGGCCCTGATGAATTATAAACAGGCCTAAGCTAATTTCTGTTCAGCTCCTCTCGACTAGAACATCAGAAGTGTTTATGGCATCTCGTCACTGACCATTTCTGCTACTCCACATATCTACTGAGTCACAGCAGCTTAATCTACTAATAAAATCAAGGTTTTTTTTTTCTTTTCTTTCTTGTTAATGCACTGTCAGCCCAGCAAAGCCAATATCGCCGGAGAAGAGTGAGCTGCATTGCCCTGAATTCTGCCTCATGCGCTATCAGCATCAGGTCAGTTCTAACTGCAGAAACATCACGGTTGGTCATGATGCATGGAGTAGAAAAAGCATGCTGTGATCTCCAGATAGAGATCCTTCAAGGCAGGTGGCTAGGAAACAAATCTGGTTTTGCTTGTAAATGTTGATATATATGCCGCTTCCAGAGAATAAGCACAGGGAACAACAAGATGCTGTCTTTACAGAGTCATATTCTGAGCATAGAGCAACAGAGGGTCCTGTGGCACCTTTGAGACTAACAGAAGTACTGGGAGCATAAGCTTTCGTGGGTAAGAACTTCACTTCTTCAGATGCAAGACAAGATGACTTGCATCTGAAGAAGTGAGGTTCTTACCCACGAAAGCTTATGCTCCCAGTACTTCTGTTAGTCTCAAAGGTGCCACAGGACCCTCTGTTGCTTTTTACAGATTCAGACTAACACGGCTATCCCTCTGATTCTGAGCATAATTGCACTGAGGTCTCTCTCCTTGCCTTAAGCAGGCTGCCAGAGTCATTCCAACACCAGAATAGTCTCATGGCAAACAAATTTAAGGTCAAATTCACCCCAGCAAAAAAAGCGTGTACAAAGCCATATGCACCACTTAAACCGTGAATTGAGGGAATTCACACCTGAGCAGAGAGAGCAAGCGCAAGGCCTTTGTAGTGCTGACATTCACTGTAAATACTCAAAATAAGGATTAAGAGGCGACCGGGCTGTGAGCTGGCTCTCTGCAGAGGCAGAAATTTCACCCTATGGTGAAATGGTTCACCAGGCTTTGTGTAGGGTCCATTGCTATAAGATGAATTTCCCTCTTTTTGAACACAAACTGTCGGACTTACACAGCACTTTTCCATGATTGGTGTGATCACAGCCTGCCACAGTATCAGAAAGGTCAGAGATACCAAAGACCAGTTCCAGTCTGTATTCCATCCTTCTGCCAGTGAAGGTCTGTGCCTGGCAGCGTCCTTCATGACATATTTATAGTTTATTTGATATTCTAGTACTTTGACTGGTGTGGTTTCAAACGTCTCTGTCCAGCCCAGCGGATTTGTGCACTAAAAAAAATTCTATCAATGATGGGAAGAAATGAGGGTTGGGGAACTTTATGGATCTTCAAAACTTCTACTAGGGGATTCAAATGGCATGGAATCTGGGGAGAACCAGCACTGTAAACCCTGTTTTTGCACCCCCTATTTCTGTCCAGCACATCATATCAGACACTTGATGTGATTCACAGTACTTTTCCTGACCTTGTACAATCTGTTGAATAAAACGATGCACCTTATGGCCACCCAAGCCCTAGAATGGTGTGTTAAAGCCACAGAATATAGATGAGATTAACTGAAACCTAATTTAGATTCTTAAAGATCTTTAAATAATGAGAGCTATGGAATTTCTCCCAATTTAATATTAGAAACAGAACAGTATTAGGTCCTAACAGGGACCACTCCATAACATAGTGTAATACCAACAGATAGCGGTTGTCGGCAGACAGGATCAAATCAGGGACCTCTGGAGCTACATGCATGAGCCAAAAGTCACATGGCCCTTAGCTAATGCTATAGAGCGAGCAGACAAATCTCTAAGTGGTCTCGGTGCTATTAGAGGGGACAGAACACCACGCCCAGGAGATGTGTGGGTTACAATAGCTATGTTTGTAATATATAAACCCTCCTACATGGCTTTCCTGATGAAGATCCTTACTGCATGTACTTAATCTTGTATTTTTCCCATTCAATCTGGGCCCATTCCTCACATTTTATGGATATACTCTAAGGAGTGGCATGGAGGCAGCAGGGCTGCCATCTGCCCTATGCCTGCACAGGTCTCCTCATCAATCTGGAGCAGATGGCAACCATTCTGCAGTCAGTCTTCACCAAACAAGAATGTTGTCATCTCCAGGCTGAGGAAGAAAAATGATTTCCATGCAGATAGTTTTAACGCTGATGAGCATATTCCCAGCCCCCCACCTTCCTCCCAGCACATCAACTGAGTGCACCGGCAAATGCCTGACCTTCAAAGATATACTGGAACTTGTGCTGCTGGAGGCTGGCACTCATCGCTTCCTCAATGGCACTGATGTCCTTATTTAGCCGCACCACAAGGGGGTCATAATCCATACTTTCCACGTTGGCCACTATGGCATAATTCCCTTGTTTAGCCAGTGGGATCAGATAATGGAAGCAATGAACTCTAGAAGACAGAAGGCAGAGAGTTGCTACAGAGAGAAACACAGTAAGATGTTAACGTTTGCCCAAATGAGATACTGACTTTGCTGAGCATGGCTTTGGCTGGGAAAAATAACGACAAAGGGTTTTATTTTCTCGTGTACCCAGACCCAGTGGGAAGAAAAATAAGTTTTACCTCCTTTAAAAAAAAAGTGCTTGGGATTAATTTAGTGGTGGTCTAAACATGCTGGAAGGACAGCTGCATATCCTGAAGTCCTCTCAGGGCTGGTCCAATTCCCACTGAGGCCAATGGGAGACCCTCCACTTTAACGGGAGCTGCATCAAGTCCTCCACGATGCACAGAGCAGATGCAGCAACAGGCAGCAGAAACTGAACCACCACCATGGTTTGGAGGGGCCACATTAAGCCGCCGTGGCCTTTCAGCTGAAACTGTTAACAAGGGTGACAATTCCGGTGGCATTTCTCGGTGGTAAAAACTCTACTCTGGAGTTAGACTGAGACCCAAAAGTTCATTTCATGTAAATCATGGAGTAATCCCCAGATAGCAGTCACTTTTGACCCTTACTGACCTAAGCTGGCTTTGAACCGGTGGCCTAGCAGAGAAAGGCTCTTTATTTCATTACCATTTCCCTGAAGCTGTCTAAGGTTCCCAGTTCTTCAATAATTTACACTGCTTTTAGTGTACTGGCTGATCCCAAATAGAACCGATTGGCAATATTTTGTTAGCACTGTGAAAAGGGACTGAGACTGCTACAAAAGTGAAATAGGAAGAGAGAAACAGGCTCCGCCCCCCCTCCCCCCCCCAAGCACTGGCATGTTTGTTCTGACCTCAACATGACTTTGGCATTAAGGTTTTCTGAAAACATTGCTGATTGCACAGCAGGAAGGTTGATTTTTATAAAGTGCATATTTAGGATGTTACAGTGCAAGGAGATTGCTGCTGAACACACTGGAAGGCGTCCTGAAGGTAGATCTTTTATTTAAGGAAACTGCCTGATAAAGGTGACATTATGAGCGTGCCCTGTATAAAGTGACAGTTTAATATTTTCCTTTTAAAGTTCAAATAGGTGAAAAATAATAATAATCATAAAAACTGGGCTGGTGATTTCTACTTTCAATGTATCTACCGCTCAGCATGTCATTTCGCTGCATTCGCAGACAAGCACAAAGGGCCATTGGTGATTAGATACGAGCGGCACTGTCATAGGTAGAATGCCAAGTGCCCTTTCGCCAGGTTCTCCAACACGGTACATGCTGGTTCAGCAAAACCTTCTTTGTAGGAACTTGAAAGAAAACCCTCTCCATTTACACAGAGCCCTAATAATACAATGTGATAACCAGCCAAGTGAGGGTCAGGGGACATGAAAACAATCATTAGCAGGTCAAGGCTGTACCTCTTCCCAGGCATTTAAAGTTGTCACAACTTTTCTCTCCTTTTGCTTGTTCATTTCAAGCTCTGCAGGCATAAGAACATAAGAACGGCCAGACTGGGTCAGACCAAAGGTCCATTAGCCCAGTGTCCTGTCTTCCGACAGTGGCCAATGCCAGGTGCTTCAGAGGGAATGAACAGAACAGGTAATCATCAAGTGATCCATCCCCTGTCGCCCATTCCCAACTTCTGGCAATACACTCTCTCCCCATTTCTCCTGCTGATGAGGTCTCTCATGGAATGTTCTATACATTTAAATTACCTACAGTTTTCTACAGAATTAACAGAGTTCTAGAGAAATTACACTATAAACCTAATAGGGTGAAATCCTGGCTCCACATTGAAGTCAATAGCAAACCCCCATTGACTGCCATGAGGCCCACAGATTTTGCCCACAGATTTTAACAGAGAATCAGTTCCTTTCTGTAGAAGTCTAGAGCAAGGATATCAAGCCAGATCCTGGCCCATGCTAAATCCCCCCATAGACTTTAAGGCCAGAAGGGACCATCTAGTCTGACCTGCTGCCCATCGCAAGTCACAGAAGCTCATCCACTGCTTTGCAAAATAGTATAGCTGCACTAAAGGGGTATGTGACAGAGCCTGGCCCTCCGCTCCGGTCTTTTCAGGTCAATGACCCCAACACCCCCAATCTGTAACCAACTTTGTGTAGCTTATTGGTGTTTTATCAACCACCCACCCCCTGACAGTCCCGTGCAGCATTTCTTATTTACCAGTGTTACACAATCATGAGAGAGGGAAGAGATCTCCCTTTACCCTGGCCCTGCTGGCCTTTCTCCTTCTCTCTCCTCCTGTCCTTGTGCTTCCTTCCTATGCTCCTTCTCTGCTCTTGCACTTAATGGGGTAATTAGCTCCTTAGCTGTTCCCAGCCCAGACTGATCTAGTCATTAGTCACTCCTTCTCTCAATCCCGCCCTGTGCCGGGGAACTGACTGGATTCCCAGTGACCAGAGTGCTGGTTCAGCTGTGGATTCTCAGCTCTCTGTCACAGGGTAGTCAAGCACAGAGGACTCCCTGGCACAGAGCTGGTCCAGCTGACTTCATTCTATCACTCCCCGGCCCAACCAGTGAAGGGGTTGTGTTGTGTGGGGGTGGGAGGGAATGTGACTGGAGTGCCCTGCCCTCTGGTGATCCCCACTACCAAAACATCCCCAAAGGGGCCCTTGCAAACTAATACAATTCAGACCAGCCCTGAAGTGTCTCTAACTTGCATAGGGGGCTGAACAGGGTTCCAGTTGTCCATAGGTGAGGTCAGGGAGGTGAGGGGGGGGCAGAAAGGTTGTGGCTAAGCCTTCCTTGTGCCCACCTCTATACACCAAGCACTGCACCTGAGTATTCAGCCAATAATCTTCTGTTACTTTCTATAGGATGGTACAAATAACCTACAGAAAAAATATATATTTTCGGTTACATTCTGTCCTGAACAGGAAGGATGGAATTGTAATTAAGGCAGAAGACAGGGAGTCAGATGACTTGGATTTTAATCCCATCTCTGCTACAGACTTCCCGGGTGAAGTAGGGCAAGTCATACGGTCTCTCTGTGCCTCCATGGCCTCCTCTGTAAAACTGGGTTAATAATATCCCCTGCTCTCCTAGAACTGGTATGAGGCTAAATAAATGTTTTAAAAGCACTTTACCATCCTGAAGCAGAACCAAAGAAGTGCAAAGCATCATTATTATTTTTAAATGGGGTAATGGTTAATGACCTGCGAATCTCAACGGGTTTGGTTTAGATAAGCAGCTACAAATTTGAGGGACAAATTCAGATCCTACCTATGCTGCTGTAAACCCAGAGTCAATTCACTGACTTGAGTAGAATGACATTGGATTTACAGAGGTGCCTGCATCATTCCCACGTGGTTCCAGAGAGATGTGAGGCAGCCCAACTACTCAAACTCTGTAGTGTGGCTGCATCTGGCAAAATCCAGAAGAGAGCAGAGAGCCTGAGAAGGGGAGAAAGCCCAGAGGAAGTGATGCTGTGGCATAAAACCCTACCTGGTTGTTCGCTTGCACCCTCCTTGAAATGGACCTGGTGCTGATAAATTCCCACGCACCTCTATGAAGATGTGCCATGAAGGCTCGTTTAAAGAACAGGTTTTTGTGAATGAAAACACACTGCATTATACAGCTGGACAATGACATGAATTCTGGGAGTCCCATAGCAATCAGCTGATGGCCTGAAGCCATAGATTTGATTACCTTGATCTTTGCATTTGTAACCGCGTCATAAGATTATCCAGCCCTTTAAAAAAATCAAGACAGTGCCCACATCCTTCTCCAATTGTATTATCCTTTCAATGGTTAGCAATAAAAGGTTCCCATTTGGAATCCAGGGCACAGCATATGATAAACATAAAAAGCCTTCACAAGGGGGGAGGGATAGCTCAGTGGTTTGATCATTGGCCTGCTAAATCCAGCGTTGTGAGTTCAATCCTTAAGGGGGCCATTTAGGAAGCTAGGGCAAAAAAAATTGTTGGGAATTGGTCCTGCTTTGAGCAGGGGGTTGGCCTAGATGACCTCCTGTGGTCCCTTCCAACCCTGATATTCTAAGTAGCACAAAAGAGCATTCTTCTGCAGGTTTGTACAGAAAAGATCCCAGAAAAATAATTCTTCCTGGTGGTGTTTCTAACACACAAGGAGACACTAGAAAATATTTTTTTTTTGTTTAAACAATTCTTTCCCACTTTTTCCATTTCTCTTCTAGAACCCCATTGAAATCAAGAGATTGAAGCTCGTGAAATTTGAGAGGATTCTCTATACACTGTCAGTGATGGGGGACTCTATCCTGCAAAGCAGTGACTCTGAGAAGGACTTTTGGGTCATGGTACATAATCAACTAAACATGAGATCCCACTCTGACACTGTGGTCAAATGTGATCTTTGGCTATATAACCAGCAGAATATTGAATAGGAGATGACATTATCGCCGTATTTAGCACTGGTGTGTTCACTACTGGAATACTATGTCCAGTTCTGGTTTCACAATTCAGGAAGGATGTTAATAAATTAGAGAGGGTTCAACTTCAGAGAAGAGCCATGAGAACGATTAAAGGATCGGAAAAAATGCCTTATAGTGATAGACCCAAGGAGCTCAATCTATGTAGTTTAACAAAGGTTAATGGGTGACTTAATCACAGTCTATAAATACCTACATGGGGAACAAATATTTGATAATGGGCTCTTCGGTCTGGCAGACAAAGGTATAACAAGATCCATGGCTGGAAGCTGAAGCTAGACAAATTCAGACTGGAAATAAGGCACACATTTTCAATACTGAGGGTTATTAACCATTAGAAAAATTTACCAAGGGTTGTGATTGATTCCCTATCACTACAATTTTAAAATCAAGATCGGACGTGTTTCTAAAATATATGCTGTAGTTGAAACAGGAATTAATTCAGAGAAGTTCTATGGCTTGGGTTATGCAGGAAGTCAGACTAGATGATCACAATAGTCCCTCCTGGTTTTATAATCTATGATCACATCTCTCTCATTGAGAGTAGGGCACCTACTAGAAAAAGCTCATCTAATTACTAAAGCTTTAATAGTAGCTTTAACCTCAAAAGTTCACCTGCTCACTCTAGATTCAGAGGTTTTATGCCATACCTGACTTCCAAATGCAGAACCAGCAAGCAGCGGTCAGCCATCTCTTGGAAGGACTTGGCCAGTTCACTCAGCGTTTGCATGATCTGTTCTGACACGGGTGGGAGGTCCATATTTGCATGGCTGTCCTGACCAGGTGACGGCGCTGATACAGATGTGAGAGAGAGAGAGAGAGAGAGAGAGAGAGAGAGTCTATATAATGGTTGGGAATATATTTAATCAAACAGCTGTGTTTTAGCAACCATGTCATCTCATTTATTTCCACCATATGCACATGCATTCTCTAAGCAATAATGTCTAAGATCCTGGAGTATATGAAGCAACAGACTGCTTCTGCAATTGATTAAACTCCAAAGTAAAGCTGAGGCGTTTAATCAACCACCAAAATCATTTGCTTGCAAGTAATATTGCAGCACAACGGACGTTTCTGCTACTGGAAGACAAGGGAACATTTACAGCCAGTCCATCTCTCAGGCTACATCTACACAGCAGCTGGGAGGGTAATTCCCAACTTGGGTAGTGCATGTAAGTTTCCCCAAGCTAATCATTAAAAATAGCAGCGGCATGTGCAATAGGCTCAGGCTAGCTGCCAAAGTATGTACCTAAGGGGACAGGTGGGATTGTGCACATGGTGCTGGTCCAAGCTGCCCTGTGCCGCTGTGGCCACACTGCTATGTTTAACGCACTAGCTCGAGCACCCACATTAGGTTTTGGGCCGCTTGTCCTTGGGGGTGGAATCTTGCAATTCTTCCGCTCTGAAACTTGGGATCACTATCCCATGTCCACCAACCATTTACCACCTGCAGGTCTGACTGGGTTTCGGGCACTACATTGCTTCCCTTTGGGAAGCAGTGACCGGTCTATCGTGACCAACAGCCTTCTTAAAACAAAGTATGTTTAGGTAATAGTGGGAACGAAGCGTTAGTGAGAAAAAACGGATTTTAAAACAAATCACTTGTGCACATATCTATCTTACCGACTGTCCCATAATGGCAACCCAGCCAGGCCTAGCTTCTTCAGACACCCTGCCGGGCTCCTGGGTCTGAGTTTCCCTCAGCCTCCAACATCCCTGCGAGAATGTCCTTCTAAATCCTGCAAGGCTTCTTTGTTCCCAGCAGCTTTTACAATGTTGGTGGGCTTTGGCCCTCCCAGGTAAAACCACTTCTGTAGACTGCTGGGGGACCAAGCCAGAGTCATCAGAGCCAAGAGTGCTGGCACTGTCCCTTTAGCGCTCCTAGGCAGAAGCTGATTAAGCGACCATCTTGAGCCATCTCCTTCCTGACTAACTCATTCCAGATGGCCACCTATTGGGAAGTCCTTAATCAAAGATATTCGTATAGAAACCACCCTGACAGAGCCAAGCCGAGAGACAGTCTTAAAGTATTTCTATTTGTCACACCCCCTGGTTCCCAGAACACTAAACCATGCTGCCTTTCAGAGGAGTGTGTCAATTAGTATCTTAAGCTATGTCTACACTATGACCTAGGGGTGCAATTCCCCTGCTTGCATATACACACTCACGGTAGCTCGATGTGAATATAAATAGCAGTGTAGCCACGGTAACACAGGCAGCGGCAGTGACTACACCCGCCTGAAAACAGTCGGTATATACTTGGCATGGCTCAGCCAGGCCCCTGCTACCGTGGCTCCAGTATTATTTATACCCCTGCTAGCTCTCATTGGGCTACCATGAGTATATGCCCACGAGCAGGGAAATCACACCCGAAATTTGTTAGTCTCTAAGGTGCCACAAGTACTCCTGTTTTTTTTACCCTTAGGTAGCAGCAATATAAGGCTCTTTGTCCTACAGTGGACCAACCACTAGTGAAAGAAATCACACACACACACACTGCTTGGGAAAGAAGGCATGAATACTACAGTCACCAAGGGCTTAGTGAAAAGACAGGGGGACTGATTAATTTAAAGTCTTCTCTTGCCATGTAACCACACACACACACACACACACACACACACACACACACACACACACACAC